GAGTTGCCGCCTTGGCTCCCCTCCTCACTACCTCAGTCCACTCACCGGGACAACTGTGGGTTTTCTTGGAATTCTTCCTCCTTGGGATTGCTTCGTTGTTGATGCTTGAGTCTGCGGTACCGGATTCTTGCCCGGACACAATATCGATAGGTGACCGGCGGAACCACAATCCCAGCAGTGGGGACGGCGGTCCTCCACGACTACGAAGATATTTCGACCGCGACATGTCAACACATTTGGGACCTCATTAAACTTCTTGCGGGTCAATGTCATCATGAGCTCGTAGTCACTACTCTTGACGGAGGACACCCCCTCCACTGGACCATAATCCGAGAATGGTTCTCCATGGTGTACATGGGTACTCCATGCAAGGTAATTGTCAGCTATCAACAGGGAGATGGTTCTGGTGTTGATTGCCTCGGTTACTGAATTTAGTTCATTACCCGAGATGAAGAAGCTATACTTCCCTATCAGACCACTGTAATATTCAGGCACTTTTGGGGGCTTTTCCGACGCCCATGCATAAGTTGAAGGTTGTGGGGCCATTGGTTGTTTTTGGTGGGGGCCTCTGTCATAGCAGAGGGGGGAAGGCCTTCGTTTGTCGTAGCCGGACTCCCGTAATGCGCCTTACGAGGCAAGTGCGTAAGTCCCGTCGAATCGTTAAATGCCTAAGTTCGTCGAAGGCCTTCGTTTGCCGTAGCCGGACGCGCGTCGTGCCTGGACAGTGGTCGTCGGACCACTAGCTCAAAGGGGACATCCTCACGAAACATTAACAAACAGTTGATAAACAAAAATGTAGACGCTAGAAAACGGTTGCAAAAGACAATGACGTAAAATAAAAACTCACGGCACGCCGGATGAGCCTAAACTAAGTGCACTCATCCAAGGCGGGTGCTGACTTCACAGTAAAAGGAGGAAATCCAAAATCACACAGATGCATGCTGGGAGTTTGCCGTTTGATATGACTCGGCCCCGATCTGCCTTCTTTACAGACAGAACGCTACGTCGTCCAAATTTGCTTTTGTTTGTCAACGCCAATTCTTAGTTTGTGAATGTTTTGTCTTATTACTGTTAATTTGCCTTACCTATATTGTTTGTTTGCTTGATATTGTTTCATTTTGGCCCTACTCCTATTTCTTTTTATTGTTAATTGTGTTTGTTGGACAGTTCTGTTCTTTATTTTGCATTTGATCATAGCTACTCACTCCACATACAACTTTCAAAGTTCAAACCACTTATCTTTTCGATTTCAAGTTTCGCAGATAAACCGCTCGTCAGGGTAAGACAATCTGTTGGGTTCATTAACATATTTATATTTAATTTAAATTCGCTACATCAAAAACGCTGATTACTGAGGCATTTTTAAGGAATTTCTTTACAGGAACGATTTTATATGAAGATTTTATATCTAAACTAGCCATATTTTATACCTATGTTTTTCAGTCTATTTCCAGAGTTTTTTAGGAGGTATTGTGCCAGTAGTGTGGCTAACAAAAAAAAAAATACATTTACATTTAAAAAAAAAATAATTACTAATCAATGTTGTCCCTTAAAAAATATTGTTTTCATTTTAGATATATAAATGTTAGTCTATTAATATATCCACATGGCACTAATTTAACTGACCTTAGCTTTAAACCAACAACAGATGTTATTTTTGAAACTGAAACTAATAACAAATTAACCAATGAAAACAAACAACACAAAAAATAAAAATAGCAGAATTTTCTTAAATAAAAGCGAAACGTGTTAAATCTATAAAACATTCCTATCATTCTGCGAATTCTAATCCATATTTGATCCCAATTCATATACAAGGGGCGATATTATATTTTTTTTAATTTCGCGCATGCGCGTTGTTTGGTTTTAATTTTTTCGACTGCACAGTGTAGTAAGGTCAGTTAGTAACCGTCTGTGAGAAAAAGAGCACAATGACGCAATTCGCTCTGTCAGAAATTTGAAAATGGCATGCTGTACTGCTTGGCCTTCACTCCGTAAGCTCCAATACGAACATTTCAGGGTGTTTGGGTGTCAATCTGAGGAGAGCACAGAAGATTCACAAAGAGTTAGATGAGTCTAATGGTGATTATGAAGGTGTTTGGAGTAATCACTAGTGATGGCCACGTTATGACTCCATTCGTCTTCCCACATGACCTCAGACTCAATACAGAGGCCTACAGCAAGTGCCTTGAGGAGGCAGTGCTGCCCTAAGTTAAAAGAGAGTGGCTGCTGGAAGATCCTATGTCTGGCAACAGGACTCTGCACCATGTCACAGAAGCAGGAGAACTCAGTCATGGCTGTCAGACAATTTCTGCGATCACATCACCCTTTACATCTGGCCACCTAACTTCCCAGACAACCCCACTATCTTTTAGAGATTTATTATAGAAATTAATATGTTCATCGAAAATCTTGTCATTTGCTGAATTTGTACTTATTCTTTTTCGATTTCAAAGTGGTCCATAATGGGATCACTGGACTCAGCTGAGTCTTCTGATCACATAGGTCTTTTTATATTATACAATCTTACAGCGCACCGTGATATTAATATAGCTGACATTGGTTTATACAGAAACGATGGACTTATGGTTATAAAAAAAACTCTACTAACTTTAAAATCGGTAAAATTAGAAAGATATTATATAAAGAATTTAAAAGCATGAACTTAAAAATTACGGTAAGCACTAAATTGAAAAAGTTAACTTCCTTGATATAACATTAGATTTAAGGAAAAATAAATACACACCTTATAAAAAACCCAATAACAATCCTTTATATATACACCCTAAATCAAAATACCCGCCATCTATAATTAAGCATATATCTTTATCTATCCGAAAAAGAATAAGTACAAATTCAGCAAATGACATGATTTTCGATGAACATATTAATTTCTATAATAAAGCACTAAAAGATAGTGGCTACAAAAACACAAAACTAACTTATATAAAAAATGAAAATGGAAAGCATAGAAAAAACAAAAGTAGAAAAATAATTTGGTATACAGCCCCATACAACCAAATGGTAAAGAACAAATTAGGACAAAAATTCCTTGCATTAATAGTCAAGCACTTTCCTAGAGAAAATAAACTAAGTACTATTTTCAATAAAGAATACACTAAAATTAAGTTGCAGCTGTACTGAAAACTTAGAAAAAATATTAAGAAACATAATGCTAATATCTTAAATAAACACTTATGCAAAACTAAAAAACCTTTAGACAATAGAAAAATACAAAAATAAAAAGAGATGAAGATAAACAAAAATTATGTAATTGTAGAAACCCTCATAACTGTCCTCTACAAAATAAATGTCGCACAGAATCATTAGTATACCAATGCAATATCTCTTCTATTGAGAATCCCAAAAACATTAAAATTTATATAGGTTGTACAAGCCATAAGTTCAATCAACATCAAACCTCATTTAGGATAAATAAATATAGAAATCAAATATCTCTCTCGAAGTACTTCTGGCACTTAAAAGAATCAAATAAAACACCTACAGTAAAATGGAAATTAATAAGAAAAGCTAGAATATGTAGGACATTAAATGACCCATGTCCTTTGTGCATACATGAGAAACTATATATTACTAAATTTATAAAAAATAAAAATTTACTGAATAAGAGAAATGAAATAGCTATTTTTTGCCGTCATTGTCAAAAATATTCCTTAAATAATATTTTAAAATAATTTTAAAAAAATGCGAGCTGGTAATAAACATACTTATATTTGATATGAAAAAAATAATTTTATATAATGTAAGTAATTCTATTACATTTACTTGTTTTTAAAAGAAATATAGTCTATTAATAATTAAGATAAAAAATATTTTAAAATTGTAGTTAAATAAAACGTAATCTAACCCAAACATTCCCTCCCAAAATCTTTAAGTATAGAAGTAGGAAAAAATGCCGAAAAGATTTCTGCCGTTAACAATAAATATTTTAAAAAAACCCAGACGACATGCATTTAACAGATGTCAGAATTCGTTGAAAAATACATTCCTACCCCTACCTAAACATAACCCCTTTTTCGAACATAACTAATAACTGATACAACAAAAGTTAATAAAAATGAACACGCTACCATCCACTGTCTGAATGACTGGATTTGTCTGTATCCTTGGAAACAGTGAGTTATGAATTTTTCTATGCGTTTAAAACTCAAGTCAATTTTAAAAAATAAGTTACTCCAATATTCGCTTGAAGATGAAATGAAACTAATATTTTTAATTTAATTACAAAATTAAACTTGAAGTTTTAGCTTCCATTTTTGAAACATGGTCATTACCATGTAGCGAAAAAACATTTTAAATCAGTTAAATTATAATATTTATGCTCTGTAAATTTACATTGAGCACTGTTTTATAAAAATAAAAGTAATAAATATTAATAAGAACATCGGATTATATATCTTACTGTTCTTTATATATATATATATATATATATATATATATATATATATATATATATATATACAAATTCTGAACTTATTTAATTCAGTGTGTGTTTTCCAACCTTTAATTTCATATCAATCCCAATATATTCATCTCTCTATCTAATTCTATCATATCTGTTCATATCTTTCTATTCAAGATTTTTTCCCAGTCTCCATTTGTATTGATCTTTCCAACCGCCGTTCTATCACTTCACATAGTTTCCACTTTCTGCGATTGTTTTTGCGAGTTTTTTTTTTTTTTTTTTTTTTTTTGCTCAGCGTCAAGCCGAGTTAATTTTCCCGTCCCCGAAAGGTCAATGGTCGAAACTTTCACTTCAAAAGTTTTCCAAGTGCCCGCATTAGACGACATTTATTTTCTTTTGAAAATGATAGAAAACAGGTTTCGTCCAAATACAGCAAAGTTTTGATGAAAATATGAAGATATTTGTTCAGATATTTTCTTTAGTTCCATAATTTTGTAATGAAGGACAAATATTTCCAACTAATGACATAACAAAGAATCAATCCCATGATTTCTGGTCAAATAATTACTCCGTTTCAAGTCTTCAAAATCTCTCTAACATTATGTACGACGTCTTCGGGCCGTATGTAGGAGGGAGTGAATTTGATGCTGATTAACAACGGAAACGATAGATCGAATTCGAATCCCTGCTTGTGGCGTTTATATTCGCTTTTCACAAATGACATTAGAGAAGGCATTGATCCATAATATATAATATCAATTCCCTCGCTAGATGTCTTGAAAAAAAGTTTCATTACTAGCAATAATAGATTGTGGTATGTATGTATTTATATAAGGTTTTTATTTTCAAAACACGGTCAAGACATTGTGCCCATGTTCATAGTTGATATTACTGACTTTTTTTATTAATAACAATCTATTTCTTGTTAACAGTTAATATATTTCAAACTTAAAAATGGCTAAATGTAAAGCGCTCGGAAAGTTTTTATATAACTTATCTACTGAAAAGAAAAAATTAAGATCACATGAGGAATTGTATAAAAAGCTAAATCAAAGCACCTTGTCTGTCATATTCAATGAAACATGCATGAAAGAAGGATTGCTGCCTTTACAGAACATATTTTTTTTGAATTTGTAGGTCTGATGTAATAAATTATAATCATGGAATATTAGTGTTTGAGCCTTTATATTATATTCTTGCTCTGTACCGTACATTGAGCGCTATCTGGATTTTATCCTCTTGGAAATATATATATATATATATATTGACCACTAATATTATCTATCTATCTATCTATCTATCTATCTATCTATATATATATATATATATATATATATATATATATATATAGTTATGTACGCATGTGTTCAGGTTTGGTTAAAAGTCAACGTAAGAAAATTTGAACTCGTATTATATATACATACATATGTGTGTGTGTGTGTGTGTGAGAGAGAGAGTGAGTGAGAGAGAGAGTGTGAGAGAAAGAACGCGTGTGTGTGAGAGAGAGAGAGTGTGTGAGAGAGAGAGTGTGTGTGTGAGAGAGAGAGAGAGAGTGTGTGTGAGAGAGAGAGAGTGTGTGAGAGAGAGAGAGTGTGTGTGTGAGAGAGAGTGTGAGAGAGAGAGTGTATGTGTGTGTGAGAGAGAGAGAGTGTGTGTGTGTGAGAGAGAGAGAAAGAGAGAGTGTGTGAGAGAGAGAGTGTGTGTGTGTGAGAGAGAGAGAGTGTGTGAGAGAGAGAGTGTGTGTGTGTGAGAGAGAGAGTGTGTGTGTGAGAGAGAGAGAGAGAGAGTGTGAGAGAGAGAGTGTGTGTGTGAGAGAGAGAGTGTGTGTGTGTGAGAGAGAGAGAGAGAGAGAGAGTGTGAGAGAGAACCTACTTATGCTTAAGCATTATTCTGCATCACTAGTGTTCACTATCCGAACGCAGTTGAAAAAGCAAAATTTCGAATAATTGTTTCCAGAGAAGGTTCTCTCCACGTAAAATGTCGTTGCACTACATTCATACTTTTACTAAACAAATCTACTGAAATGAATTCTCCGATAAAAACCAATTAAAACAGGATTTGAAAATTGGAATGCATTTGAAGTATTTGGAAAAATGCTTTCACCATCAGAATACAATGGTAGTGGAATTAGCGTTAAGAATGCATTATGGACTTCTTTCAAATATTAAGTTGATGTACCTTTCCGTGCGTTACCTATTCAGGTTCACTGATTATTATCACTAGAATAGCAACTCAGAAGTAAATAACACAAGAGGCATTATTCTCTTTGAAAAATAAATTGTCTCCCTTTGTTTCGTTCAGACTTGAACGGACGACAAAGATCTGTTTTTCCGGGAAGGCAATGCATGTGCGTAAACACTTCGTTCCGCTTTCCGATTTTTGCTGCTGTCGACATCGAGTGAAAAGGTGGTAAATATTAGAATGGCCGGCCCTGATTATCGTTTCCCCTTCTTAAGCAAACAATAAGCCTGTGTCATTGAACATTGCATATAGAGACTGAAAGGCGTCAACTCCAAAGCTACTTTTACTATTGATGAGATATTGCTATCGTGTGATGAGTGTTCGTTTGATGATATGTACGGAGAGGCTGTCGTTCTTAATGGCCAGGAGAGTAAGTCGATGTTTGAGGCGGGAAAAAGAATTTGATGCTATGTATTTAGGCAAAATTAGAGTGCGTATCACAGAGGCATCCAATCACGTTAACTCTTTCTAAATTAACATATTTGTAGTATTATCCTTATTATTTATACCCATTTAGTTTTTCCACCAGGACTAACCAGTGACTTCCGTTGGAGAATGAGCGACAGCATGACTCTTCAATACACCAGCACTCTCCTCAGTATTCAGGCCAGTGACGTGCAGAGGTCTGGTGATGCTAGAGGCCAGCTCCTTAGTTGTATATCCCTAAGACTCAAGTAGGGGAGCCTACTCTGGTCTCGCACATCAAAACACGGATCCACATTCAGACCTTTGTGTAGGACTGTAGGTCGTTTGTACAACGAAGTTAACAGAGACAATTTCAAATTTCAAAAAACTAAAATTTTTTTATTTCACTCTTTGAGTGGATGCTTTCCTGATAGGGATGCTCAGGGCCATCGCCCCCCTCGCCACCGCTTCTTCTTCTTGTTCGGATGTTCTCGATTCTCCTTTGGACTTCCGGTTCGTTCAGAATTTTCGTTAGGCATTATGGGATTGTTCTAACTATTATAACTACAATCAGTACGACTGTGACGTACAGATTCCATATTTTTTCTTCAGTTCTCTGTCGAGGTCTAGATACATTTTCTTTTTATTCTACTTTCTGTTTTCTTAGAGATCCTTGTTCATAACGATATAAAACCTTTATTTCTGGCCTGAATTTTGGGGAACTGCTTGAAATTCAAAATGCTACAGTATGTTATGGCTTAAAGACATCCAAAGACAGATTCTGATACCATGATTTTTGCGGTTGAATCGTTATTGTTTGCCCAATTCACACTGCATCTTCCTTCGCGCCCACTCATGCATATTTTATGACTCATTCCTGTGATAAACAAAGAATCCCGTTCCATAAATGTCATTATAATTAAACTTAATGATAAAACCAAACTTGTATAAAACAAGAATGACTTACCCGTTAGGATATTGTTTCTCAATGAAAAATCTAAGACACTCATCGGGCAAACAACTACAACAATTTCAGATCGACTAGTATAGCATCTGACAGCCAGTAGTGTCATATAAGCTTAAATGAACACATATAGCACATAATATTCCTATGCTATTCCTATAGAAAGCACAAAGATATTATAGAAAATATTGTAATGACTGGATGCTCGTTTCCGAGTGGCTAGCTTAATCTCAGTTGCAGACTCTTGTAATGTTAGTGTTTCTTCAACACTCACAGAACGGGCCTGTGGTTCATGCTGCAACTATACTGCGTGGACCGAGTGGCCGAGTGGTTAGAACGTTCGCATTCTGACCATGAGACCCGGGTTCGAATCTTACCATAGTCGATTTGTCAGGAAGGAGACTTCCTCATGTTCGATCCCAGCGTGCGGCACATTTAAAAATCATATCACTGGTTAACCCAAGCCTTGTGAGTGAAATTGAGTAGACGGAACCCGATAACTGTGCTAGCACAAAGTCACAAGTCATCGTGGCCAAGGGCTTGAGCGTGTTGGCCTTGTTCAAACACGCTCTTCCCCAGAAATTGTAACTAAGGTCTGCTCAGCATAGTTGCAGTATGGGTGTTGAATAAATACAAATGCGCCTGAGCAAGAGTCTGCAATAGGGATTGGCTAGTCGTCCTAGTAGACGGGTATCCTCGAATACGAGTGGCCAGGTATATATATACTGTGTGGACAGTAGTACAGTTTCTGGGAGACAGGGCACAATCTGGCTTAATCAGTAATTGAACAAGGCTCAAAATCTCGGTCACGATGACTTGTTACTTGTGACATCCGAACAGTTTCGGTTACCCTATTTAATTCAAAAAGACTTTCAGACACTTCCCCCCCCCCCCGAACACCATGATAAGATTCGAACCTATGCGACAATGGTCGGAATGCTAATTTTGGCTGCGGGACGTTTTATGATAAACATTTAACGACTAGTGGAACATTTGTCCCACAAACAATATTTGGTGGACTCATGTGAATACGTGTAAAAATAATAACACTAAACATCAAATTTAAAACAAGTGACAATTAATGCAATGTATTAATACATGAAATGATATTAACGTGAACACAGTTGGAAAGTCAAAGAAAAGATAGAGTTCAAGCCTCAGTGTTTTTCTCTTGTTCTTGTAACGGCATTCACCCGGGGTGGGTTGAGCCGGCTCCAATATTGGAGTTTCATGGGCATTTGGAATTCACAAGCCGTCCCCAACCCTCATGTACAGCACATGAGATTCGATTATAGTGGTGAAGGTTTCGTGCAGGACCATCCACACATTTTGAAGGGCCGATTACAGAGATCTGGTGCACTACGTGCCACAAGGTCCCCAAAAGACCCTCCGCAGGTTTTGAATTCAGAGTTTTCCTTCTTCTAGACCAGTTGCCATCCAAGGCTATAGAACCCAATCTGTCCTGCTATTTACCCATAGCTGGAGGGATAAGAAGAGGATTCACACCTTTCCCAAGGGTATTAGCACGTAAGTGAATGTAATGGATTTGACTGGAATTCGAACTCAGCTCTCCGATTCCTCAATCCAAGCCGCTATCCATTACTCCAACGTGCCTCCTTTACTCCATCGTTCCTCCTTTACTCCACCGTGCCTCCTGGACCAAGGAAACGAACGTTCCCCAGCGGGTGAGGGGTACATTACCTACGTGCGACTACATCTTGGAGCAAGAGGAAGAAAAGAGAAAGAGGAAGAAAATTACTTTTTATAGACTTAAAAAAGCGCCACCCAATGGGTGATTGGCAAAGCCAATGGAGTAACCCATAAATTCAAAACACTCGGCCACGCCCTCCACTATATAACCTTAAATTGCAAAATAACAAGGCAGAACCATAAAAACTAAAATAAAATACATAAAACAACTTTCAGTTGAGGAACTGGTGCATTAAATATATACAATAATTAATAAACACGCAGGCTCAATTTCTTTGATACCACAAGCGGCTTTACATATGTTCTAAGCGATCCGTAAATGAAGTAATCAGATACGTTCAAATATGATTTAAATTTAAAACATGCTGAACAAGACATATACAGAAAAGGTTTCTTGAAATTCAAAATCATAACATAATTCCGATTCTTGAAAATGACTGGGGATGGTGAAAAGCGCTTGAACGGACAATTTTTGCGCAAACTCTAACGACGGTTCTATTACCCTTGGCTGCTTCTACATATGTTACGGGAATCAATGGTAAGCACAGACAGACACGCACAGACATTAGAGGACTGAACTCACTATCCAGTGGTAATTGATCTGTAGCAACATATGTTTACTAACCATTACACCACATCGACACGTATATATATATATATATAACACACGTATGTGTGCACACACATATATATATATATATATATATATATATATATATATATATATATGTGTGTGTGTGTGTGTGTGTGTGTGTGTGTGTGTGTGTGTGTGTGGATATACTAGCCCAATGAAAAAATTCGAGGGAAAAAGGAGAAGAATATTGATTGTATAATAAATGGGCCTTTTGATCAAATTGAAGCATGATGTGAAAAGATGATGAAGACGAGAATTTTCAGACATGCTTGTGTCCGTTCTCAAGGAGAAATAAAAATGAAGTTGGACTTTTGGAGGGAATTTATTTTTATATGACTGATGCAACCTCGTAGTTTGGGGCTATTTGTTTGCGATCATTAGTATTATTGAGGGTTTGTAGATGATTTTTATGGAAACTATATTCATCCTAAATTCCTTTTTAAACCTAAAACATGTGAAATTATTTTAAAATTATTTCTTTACTGTTATACACACACACACACATGCACAAACACACACATACACGCACGCACACACACACACACATATAAATTAGAAAGAGTGAGAGTGCGTGTGTGGTTGAGTTTAGAGGGAAAGGTGGGAACAGCAATTATGATTAAACAGATGTATACACTTAGATTTGTTTCTTATCGCAAAAAAAATCGTTAAAATTTCCTATACTAAACTTTGGTCCACTGTGCCGAAACAAAAAAAATGACAAGATTTTTAACCAATATTTCGAACCTTTTAAAAATTATCAAAAAATATAATAATGAAAACATCGTCTGATCTTTCCGCTTAATAATAACAAAGATTTTAACGATAAAAAAAGTTTGGGTCATTTTTTTCATAATAGTATCCTAATTTTTTAGCTAATCATTGAAGGTAACTAAACAGATGAATAGATAGGATAAGATAGATAGATAGATAGATAGATAGGTTTTCACTGGAGTGAAGTCTATTTCTTTAAATAAAAATCGGATCAATATTTATTTTTCATCTGAAACATCTGTATAATTTCATGATTTTTTACCAAATGAGCCAGGTTCCAGGCGATGTGACATTTCATCTAGCAATAACAGCCAGGAAAGTTCACTTTATCGGCCACTGTACAAATAAAGCCGACATCAAAGACATGTATTTGCAGTTCTGATGGCTACAAAACAAATTGACTTCGTGGTTGATCGGTGATTTTGAAAGTATTTCAACACACACGCATGCACGTAGATAAGACAAACTGAGATAGATAGATAGATAGATAGATAGATAGATAGATAGATAGATAGATAGATGAATAGATATAAATAAAATGAGAAAACTATGAATCTACTGGAAAAGATAAATAGTTAAAGACACACACACATATATGTATACACACACACACACACACACATATATATATATATATATATATATATATATATATATATATATATCAACAGTAGAAGATGAAACGGCTATGGCGAATCCACTGCAGGCAAAAGTGGTTTCCAGATCTTTCCATGACGACTATGGCTGCATTAGTCTCTTCCATGTTTAACTAGCAAATCATCCCAACTTGTCTTTCCATCTTCAGTTTGGTCTTTTCCTACTGAGTTATTTACTTGTAGTCATAATGCAATAATTATTTTTTCCGCTTGCCACCATTTTGTGCTTTTGTCGTTGCTTTAAACAAATTAATGCAAACATCCTGCCACCTTGCTCTCTGTTCAGGGCTCTATCTGCAGCTATTTTATGACAGAGTATGGCTCCTCTTAGATGAGGGTGCCTAAATTGACTATTATTTTGTAATTGAATGGTGAATTTCTCCGCTTGAAAAGGACTGAGATGAAAAAGCGAACTAATATTTGTTATGGTGGTAAAATGAGTTGTTACGTTTTAATACGACCGACAGCAAACATGTTAACTTAAGCGGGTTGCTTTCATCGCATTAGCAGTGGGATTAAATGTAAAACTTATCCAAGTTTCTTCACGCTTTACTACTATCAATTTTTAATGGGATTTTCATTGGTTGACACACACCAGGTAACCAAAAGGTGTGAATAAAAGAATAAAGCATCATGGGAAATAAAATAGAATATTATTAGAGAAAAATCAACACGTATCTCGTAAAGATATTACAAGTGCAAAATGTTAGAATGATAGAAACAATTCGTTGAACACGTATTATATATGACTAGCTTACAACCATTTCAATGTTTCAGTATGCTGAAATGTAGGTACGTAGATATGATAAGACTGATAGATAGATAGATAGATAGATAGATAGATAGATAGATAGATAGATAGATAGATATGAACAGACTGAGCTAGCGAGCTAGCTAGATAGATATAGACAGACTGAGATAGATAGATAGATAGATAGATAGATAGATATGAACAGACTGAAATAGATAGATGGATAGATAGATATGAACAGACTGAAGTAGATAGATAGAAAGATAGATAGATAGATATGAACGGACTGAGATAGATAATGAGTAATGAGTTTAACCACGAATACTGGAGCCTTGTGCTAGATCGTTTTAGTCAATCACTTACTGCCCTCTTTTGAGACATAACAGCTTTCTGTTTCTCGTTCTGACGATAAGTATCTTTTTTGTTTTGACTTTCCTTAAGACAACTTCATTGCTTATGCCATCCGTCCATGGTATTCTCAGTATCCTCCTGCAGAACCACATTTCTCTTGCCTCGTTTTTTTTTCATATGTGAGGAAATTATCCAATAGTCACTGGTATATAAGAGGATTAATACTGAAATCTAATGTATATACCAATAAGTTGTTACGGATTTTTTCCCCTTTCAAAATTTCTGATGATACTAAATAAATAAAGAAATATATTAAATTTATAAAGGTTTTTCTACTTCTTATTTAATCATTATGTTGGATTTAATCTGCATTTTCAACTTTCAATATATATATAAACATATATATATCTATATATATATATATATATATATATATATATATATATATATATATCCTGAATGTTAGCAAATGTATACTTCGTCGGGTCTATGCACTCTCGTATATATATATATATATATATATATATGTGTGTGTGTGTGTGTGTGTGTGTGTGTGTGTGTGTGTGTGTGTGCGTGAGATAGAGAGAATATAGTTTTAAGGTATATTAATAAAATTAAGTTATATTTATGGGTTAAAGTGCTCAATATCAGAGATAGAAGCTTTCCATTTCATTCTTCTAATCAGATTCTCAGTTTTAAAACCAGTTTTTCGAAATGTTCCCGTTTGTTTGTGATGGGAAGGTTTTTTAACGAAATTCCAAAATCGATCTTTTCTATGTTAGAATATTAAATAAATGGAAACAGTGCTCAACCTATGAGAGCGAAATATCCAGGTACAATGAGAATGAATGAGTACGATTCCAACGTTGGTAACATTTCATTTAAAAGAGAGTTCAATACAGAATAGAGTAATATTACTTATTTTAGGATATTATGCCAAAATCTTTATATATTAAATTATATGTCAAAATCGTTACATTACTAAACAAATGTTTGAGAATCTCGTTTTTATCTTAGTACAGAGAATCCGACAGTTGAGAAATTCTATATTGGCAGTACTAAGAATTCTTTCAAGACTAGGTGGTATTAACATATCTTGTCTTTTACCAATACTACTTACAGAAATAATATATCACTTTCTAAATATTTTTGGACTCCTAAGGTGATATGGAAAATTGTAAAAACGGCAAGGACATGTAGATCTTTATATGAACCCTGTTTTCTGTGTTTACATGAGAAACTCGAAATCATCAGAGTTTTTGACAAAAATTCATTATTAAATCAAAGAAGTGAATTAACAGTAAACTGTAAGCATTTTTAATCTTTTACCTTACAATTAAACTTTCGAATTTGATAATGATTTTTCTTATATTTTAGTTGTACTGTGTTGCACTATATATGGCTTATCATTCTATTAGTAAGATTAATCTGGATTTAATATAATATTGTATTAATTTCCTGATAGTATTGGTAACATCTTGTATTGGTTTTTGGTTGCTATTTTTTGACATTGATTGATTTGTTAGTTTTCTTAACATTTTATATGAAGGATATTTAACAGTTGCATATTAATTTACCAAATAATTCTATATGTTTAAATTATTTAATACTTTCTGAAAGAGGCCATCAAGTATTAAAAATCTTTATGTAGGAAATTATTTTGTTGAATTACCTCTCTACCCCACTTTTATTTCTTAGCAAACTGCATTGTCTGGTTTGTATATTTCATATAAGCATATGTATCCGCTCTAAGTTTATGTCTGTCTGCAGTTCTTAATTTTTGCTTCTTTGCTTATTATAAATTTCACGTTATAAATATTTGATTGGTTGATCAAGGTAAAGCCCACAAACCTTATATCCCGCTTTTTTCATAAAAAAGCTTGTACTTTGCTTTTAAATCTAAATAAATCGTTCACTCGACAGTAATTTACAATCGCCTGATGAGATGCATTGATATGCATTGAAACACGACTGCAAGTGTGTAGCGATTATTATTATTATTATTATTAGATAAACGTTATTTTTAGTGGATACTCGTATTTATTAAACAGTGTATTAATTTATTTTCGTCTATAGTCCTGAATATTCGAGAATTCTTATAAGGCCGGGTGATGAACATAAATATACTGTTTATTAAATAAATGCGGCGCCCACTCCAATACGCATATTCACTAAAAATAACGTTTAACTAAAAAAACATCTATCGGATTAATAAGTAAATATGCATATATGGATATATTGAATGTATTTTTATGCAACATTATTTCTTATTACATTTTATTACTATATTAATTTTTATTGGTTACACGTATTTGAGTTGCTATCCTAGATTTTTTTTTCTTAAACAGTGAAATTCATAACAACCAACGTAGATTGAGATTTTCTCCAATAGGAATCGAACCTGTATCCCCTTTCTCATCATGGAAACCACCTCTAGAGCCGAAACGTGCCAAATTACCAATCTGGCCACGGATATTCAATTTACCTATTCAAGGAATGAACTTTTCTCGTTGGGATTTTTACGAATCTCAATTTGCTAATTCCAGATCCGTACTCGAAACATTAACAACAGTCATTTTGGAAAATTGAATAGAATGTTTCTACCTTTTGAAAATTAGCATTCAAAACTTTTTTTTTTTCTTATCTACGTTACAGTCCTGAATATGAACAACAAGATGAGGGAAGCAACAGGTAAAATGATGTCTTACCGACAAAGGTAGATCCGACATCAATGAGGAATACAGACATTGAATTTAGGCTGTGAACAATTCAGTTTAAATCTTGATAATTGAATAAACATATCGCTAGTGATATGCTTGTTATTTCAATCAAAAGAACTCCTTCTTGGTCTCTCTCTCTCTCTCTCTCTCTCTCTATATATATATATATATATATATATATATATATATATATATGTGTGTGTGTATGTATATATATATATATATATATATATATATATATATATATATATATATATAATAAAAAGGCTAAAACACTAGTGGAACATTTATGTATAAGTCTTTTTATTATATCCTTACTCTGTCCTGGACATTGAGTTCTACCTGGATTCTATCCTCTTGGATTTATTTTTTATACAAATATATATGTATGTGCATGTATGTATGTATATATATTTATATATATTTTAGGTATATGATTGCATATGTATGTGTATATTTACCACTAATATTATCTATCTATCTATCTATCTATCTATCTATCTATCTATATATATATATATATATATATATATATATATATATATATATAATCCTAGATAAATCCTAAGGATATATATAGAACATATATATATATATATATATATATATATGATAAAATATATTTTTAAGGTATGCTATAGTTATGGATGAAAGTACTCAATATCAGGGATTGAGCGTACACTACAGCTAAAAGTTTGACGCCACCCTTGGTACTTTTCTTAAATTGACCCCAAAAGTAGTTTGTTTTGTACTTTAAATAAGAGACAATTATTATACATGGTTAAAAAAGTGAAGCATGATTTTTTGTTAGAAATTTTATTATGACAAAAAGAAAAAAAAAAACATTTTATGATTAAATTTTGCTCTCGTCAAAATTTTCTCCTTTAGCCTTGATCACTGCAGCACAAATTTTTGGCATTCGTGGCAAAAGTTTCTTAAAGTATAAGTTTGATAATTTATTCTATTCTTTTTTTCAATGAATCTAGGAGTTCTTTTTCATCCCTTGCTAATTCTGGGAGGGGTTTCAAACTTTTTAACAATAGCGTATGTAAATATAAAAAAGAACATTAAGATAAACACCCAGCGGCAACAGTCTGTTCCATAATTGAACACAATCGTCATAGCTGGACGATTGTGTCTAAGCATGAAACAGACTGTCACCGCTGGGTGTTTACCTCAATCTCGACTTGAAGCGTGAAACAAGGCTAACAAATCAAATACGTGTACCCACTAAAAATAACTTTTATAGTAATAATGTCGGATAAAAAATACGTAATACATACATGCATACAAACATACACACACATATATATATATATATATATATATATATATATATATATATATTAACAACCACAATATATTATGAAATGGATTAAATCCGACAATTATTGAATATATTTTCTGTTTATACGTTATTTTTTAATAGATATTTAAGTAAATGATCTGCTTTTTTTTTTAAATTAAACAGTATTAATTACATTTACCGGCCTGAAGGTTCGTGAAATACAGGTTCAATTCCTGTTGGAGATCGCTAAATTTCTATGGTAAATGTAATTAATACTATTTAATTAAAAGACAAAAAAGGATTTACATAAATAAATTATATCTATAAGAATAACATATACATAGAAACTATATATATATATATATATATATATATATATATATATATATATATATATAAATCATCATCATCAAAACTGTTTCGATTTGAGGTCATGAATTAACAAGTTCTCTCATCTTTAGTGACATTGTTGATTCAACAATATTTTGCCAGCCTTCTCTGTCCTCTGCGAGTTTGCGGATTCATTGCAGAACTTCTTTGATTGTAAACTTCTCCAAAGGAAAAGTTGGATCTTTCTGCCTTGTTCTTTGAATGTTTCGGTTCAGCGTTGTGACTATGGTCGTTCTTCGATGACGAAGTCAGTCTTTTCAAAGTAAAACTCCATGGCTTTGTTAGCTGGACATTCTGGATCCATTTGCAAAATATATCCAAGAAGTTTCCATCTTGCTTTCAAAATGAACGAAGACAAATGTGATTCTTGACATCTGCTCTACAAGTTCTTGTTGGAGATATGATGAGGGTAATTTTTCCCTATCAGAATTCGCAGTTGTTGTCTGTGGAAACTGTCTATCTCCTTAGAAAAATAGTATGACAGATTGGAAAAAAGTTTTTGAGACGCGTTTGATTCGCCAGGATTTCATTGGACTGGGCTTTGGTGACGTTGTCATGTGTTTATACTAAATAAGAGACGCTAGTTGTTTAAAAAATTTGGAAAGAATATTTTTCAAAGTTTTTTTTTATTTTAAAGAATATTTTTTTCATATATCCAAATTCATCTATATTCTTTTTCCTTTTCTCTTCATCACCCATTTTGACAACAGAAAATCTGCCAATAATTGTATGATCCTGGGCGCAAATTCATATATACATATGTGTGTGTGTGTGTGTGTGTGTGTGTGTGTGTGTGTGTGTGTGTGTGTGTGGTCGAAAATACTTCAACAAAATCAGAACGAAAACTGGCCTCACGTTTTCCATTAACTTGAAGTGGAACAACTACATTGAGTCAATAGCTGCATCTATTGCAAGAAAAGTCGGTTCACTGTGTCGTGCCAGAAGTTTTTTCTCGTCAGAGTCCATCTACAAATCTACCATTCCATTTACAAATCTACCATTCGTTCGTGCATTGAATACTACTGTCATATCTGTTCCGGTGCCTCTGCTGTTCATCTCGAGGTTCTCAACAAAATCCAATGTAATCGGTCCTGAATTGAGATCTTGACTTCAGTCACTTTCTCATAGACGTAATGCAGCTTTCCTCTGTCTTTTCTACCAATATTTCCATGGCAACTGTTCTGACGAGCTATCTTCCCTGATGCCCCAACTACATGAATTTAAGCGTGCTACTAGATTGGCATCTAGGTCCCCACTGTTTTACTGTTGAAATAGTTAAATGTAACTGCCACTTCTACTCCAACAGTTTCTTTTCTCTCACTTCCCGACAGTGGAACTCCCTTCCTCTTACTTGCTCCCCTGATAATTGCAATCTAAAAAAAATTTAAATGCAACGTCAATTGCCATCTTCTGTTGCCTTGATCCCCGTTCTTCTTTTATCCTTTCCTCAATTCTCACAGTTTTTTCCCCTCATTTTCACTCTTTGTAACCCCCTGCGTGCTAGTGGCACTCCTGCCTTGCTTGGGATGAAACGCTTTAGAAAAAATTAATTATTGTTGCTTAACACACACACACACGAACAAACAAACAACGATGTTAACATATGACAAGCATGACAGCTATTGTCTCATAACAGTTGTACATGTCAGAGCCAACAGTTTTATATAAACAAGTAGACATGTCTATAATTGTGATGTGTTGATTTGAGTAAATATGAAAAGGCTAAATTTTTATGAGAAGATGGTAAAAAGGCAAGAGTAATTTCGAAAGTACGCATTGGTGCTCATTTTCCAACAAAACATTGGGTAAATGAGATATATTGATATTAGCTGTACAGAAGGAAATAGTTTAACTGGCATTTAATTCTATCTGTCTATCTATTTTGCACTTTCTCTCACCTTCTTGATATATATATATGCACATATACATATATATATATGCCAGCAGTATACATAGACACACACACACACACACACATATATATATATATATATATACTGTATTGCATACGTATATATGTAAAGTACATGCACACACATGTGTATGTGTATGTATATGGACCTTTATATTTTATAAATAAATACATATGTATATATAATTTATGTCATAATTTATACACATACAGATAGATAGATAGATAGATAGATAGATAAAGAACAGAATTAGATAAATAAAAAACAGGATAGATAGATAGATAGATAGATAGATAGATAGATAGATAGATAGATAGATATGTATTTATTTATGTATGTACACATTATGCCTGTTAGTGTCATCGAATATTGATTGTTCTCTGATGTAAACTTGAAAGAAAACTGACTTCTCTCGTTACTGTTCTTTTCCCTCATCCTTTTTTTTTTTTTTTTGCCGGAAGTGCTAACACAGCAACCTTTGCACAACAAAAGCCCCACACATCCGGTGCCTGCGTTTCCCAGTGAGATGTCTTCCGAAATTCTACCATCCACCCGCCCCCCGTCGAAGGATTCATTTGCGCGCATTTATCATGTCATTGCGACACGCCGTTCTGCACAGTATCAAAGAGATTTTCATTAACATTCCACGCTCATTCCAACCAAAAGAAATTATTTACTTGTAAAATCTCACAAATGCAAAGTAAGTTCTTCCCAACCGGCAAAAATACAGTTAATATATCATTGACATTGTTAAATAAAAATTCGATTAACATTACAAATGGGGCCAAATGCCTTATCTATAGGCGGCTAACGAATCGAGATTGCAAAGAAAATACAGAGCTTCCAAACATACGAATATGGATGAAAATGGTCGGTTTGACCGAAAGGAAATTAAATTGACAAAAATGCGACTGCATCTTTTGCGTAACTTTCTAGTCAAAATATAGGTCCAGCGTTGTCCTGGCTAGATATATGTAACGGTCTATCTGAGAGATAGATAGATAGAGAGAGAGAGAGAGAGAGTGTGAAACCTAGTGTGTGTGTGTGTGTGTGTGTGTGCGTGTGTGTGTGCGTCTTCTCAGCAACAAACTTCTGGTCTTGTTCGCTTAATAATTCACAGTGAATTACATGCGGAAAAGGAAAATATTCAGAGTTTTTGATTATTTACAGAAGAAAGAAAGAAAGAAAGAAAGAAAGAAAGAAAGAAAGAAAGAAAGAAAGAAAGAAAGTGTCAACTCGAAAACGGAAGTAAAAAACAAAGAAATCATCCAGAACAAAAGCAGCCAGAAATTCGCCTGGAATGAAAACAAAATGGCTGCCCTCGCAACTAATAATAACGTCGAAGCGATTTCCCATCGGAGAAGATTCTTTCACGCCAATTTTCCGAAAGAAAAGGACAAGAAATGAAGAAGCTGCTTCCAAAAGATTGAGTCCTGAATGGACGGCAGACGAGTGTAAATTGCTATCCACCAAAAATGGACGAACCAGAGAAAGTAACCGACTTTGATGTTGCAAAGAATTTGGTGAAGTGTGAGTAATTTGGCGATTTTCGAACAAGAACGGCTGATTGCATCTGTCGCTTGAATAGCATTCTACGGAATACAAGGAATGGTATGGAAATTTGGCAGCCAGCTTTGGCACCGAAATAAGGACTTGCTTCTAGCGGGTATAAACTTGTTGGAAACATGTACTTTCCGGATGTAGTTATGTGGTAAGGGTGGAAATTGAGAGTTTGACTTTGTTGTTTACACCAACCTTAAGCAAAGACAAATTTTAATTATACACGACAAGAATATTGCATCTTTTTACATTTTACTATTAATATTATAGTTGTAAAATCCACAACATCAATCACAATCATGTATCATAAATCGATATTTGTAAAAAAAACAAACAAAATAGTTTTTTCTTTTTAGATATTACACTGGATCTGCAGAAAATATACAAACTTTAGTAGAAATAATCATCGTTAACGCCTTCAGTGACATCAGTTTTTTTGCTTTGTCGGCCAATAATAGAACTCAATTGCATCACTAGGAAATAAATAGTTGCCCCAACAATAGTTGTTCCAGTTGAGCTGATGAGAAAATGAAGACAAAGTGCAAATTTCCAAAAAGGGACGATAAATAATTAACGTCTTTTGCCGCTGAAAGGAGTACGAATGCTATTTTTGAAAATCAAATTTAAATTTCGTCTAAGGATTGGGTAATTGCTTATTTTGATGACGGGAATCTTTGAAGCGTCTTTGACATTTCCTCAAATCAATATTGACGGATCAATTATAAAACTGTGATATGTTGTTTACAACCAAAAGAAAATTAGTTGAATTTACTAAATCAAACGTCATTTCCTTCTTTCTCGACTCAGAAAAAAAAAACGCATTTTGGGGCAAGAAAACTAATGCCAATGAAAAATGGATCTTTGACCAGGACCCACCCAAATAATTAATGTTAGGTCCCACATTGCTTTCAATATTTTAATCAAAATGGAATCTTCTGAGGGGAAAAAAGCTCTTCTCTGTGATTGGTAAGATTAAAACGGATTTCTTTATTAGAAATTAATGAAACCTAACTAAACTGCTACTGTGAAATGCAACAGTGAGAAACTGACGCATTGGAAGGAAAACGAGATTTTTCTGTGCAAGGATGTCGACTGGTGATTTTTATGCATAGAAAGACCGTCCCAGCGTCGCTTTAAATTATCGTGGAACTGTAATATGAAGTTATCTCATATGTGGTATAGGAAGTTTTCCGCCATCATGGAAGTGGTATAAGAATATTTTGATCACAGATGTTTAGGTAGTGAAACGTTTAAATCTTCAGGACAAGAAATCGTCGAGCCGAGTTCGAATTCCCGTCCAGTTCGTTACATTTACTTTCGCACAAATACACTTTGGAAAGGCATGAACTCATCTCCTTTTCCTTTACCTGTGAATTAAATAGCAGTGAAAACTGGGCATTCTAGTTTTGGTTGGTTTGGAAAAGTACTTTAAATTCAAAACCGTGTTGGATGTTAATTAAACCCAGACTGAGTAAAACTTAATTAAACCAGGAGTAAACCTTAAATTTAGCTCTGTTGCATATGGAGTGAAGTGGGAGGTACGACAGGCAAAAGCAAACTTCTGCTCTCGTCCATTTTCTCCTCCTGTCGAGAGTATATTTAAATTTTAACTGAAACCTGGTTAGAAAAATAATTTTCTAGCAAGATGAGATTTGCCGCACTTATACCACTGGCTATATAACCCTGGCGAGGTGCATATTATACAATCATTGAAAAAATTATGGAGTTCACAATTAAATGTGACGCGGGGATCTGGACATTACGACTGAAGTCGTATAAAAACATTTGATGGCAAAATAATTATGCAATGGAAAAAAAAAAAATTGGCCTAGATATTAAATATTTCATGAATCCAGCTCCCTCTACGTATAAATGAAATACAAGCGTGTGAAATTGTGAAATAAAACGCAACGTTATTATTAGTTTTGAAGATTTATTTTTTACTTCTTTTTTTATTTCATTTTTCCAAATTAGTTCATCAGACGCTAAAACGGAAAAACGATAGGATTAAAATGACCTGCCTTTTTAAAAAGAATGATATGAATTGTATGCATACAAAATGCATTGAAAGGGCATTTTACTAGACGAATAGATTGGAAAGGAAATTTAAATGCATTAGAAAAGTAATACATTAAAATGAACAAGTATATATTCCACTGTGAAATCATTGATTCCTTTTACCTGGCATTATTAATTCTTTTGACAATATTACTATATTTTCAATTCGGATTTTGTTTTTTAATACTTTTCTATGAATTTTTTCTTTGATATTGTCAGACACAAAAATTCTTTCAATGCATGATTTTAACTTTTACGTTTTTGTTCCATCCGCACCAGACTTGAAAAGATTAGAAATGAAAATTCATTCTTATGTCTATATCTATGCTGTTAAAGAACAAAATATTTGCTTCCAAAAGTTTGAAATATTTTTGTCCTAAAATCCTATTTGGTTTGGGACAAAAACAACCAATAAAACAAGAGCAAAATGTTTTTAAGAAGACATTGCAAACTTCCTCATATCGACTGAAATCGTTTCAAATAAACAATTCAGTGCAACCTCGGTTCTCGAACGTCTCACATATCGAACAAATTGGTTTTCGAACAGAAAATTCGAGATGAAAATGCCTCGGTTATTGAACAAATTTTCGGTTCTCGAACAACATTTCCGAACCGAGTTAACCCGAACGGAATCATTTCTGAGTCGACCACCATGTTGTATACATTCATGTGTTGTGTTGTACTTTTCTTTTCCAATTTTATTATACTGTGACTTTTTTTTTCTACATTGATTCCTATTGAAAAAATAGTTTCGGTTTACGAACATTTCGGGTTACGAACGGCCTTCCACTGTATTTAAATTTTAACTAAACGCTTAATCAAAAACCTACTTCCCTGACGGCAGTCGAAATCATAGTTCACAAACACACCACATCTTAGTTGAGAAGATAATATTTTACTATAGATGTATATTATGCAATTCACCAGGCCTACAAACGGCTTTGCATTGAGAGTTTTCCTTCTCCTAGACTGATTGCCAGCCACGGTTAGAGAACACAGTCTCTCTTGATATTTAACCAATAGCTGTGAGGAAAGGAGATGGATTTATACAATTCCAAAGGTTATTTGTGCGAAAGTGAATCTAATGAACTTTTTTTTTTTTCAATCGTTTCACCCCAAGCAAGGCGGGAAGCCACTAGGACGCAAGGGGTTGCAGAAAATTTGAGCAAGATCAGATAGGGAGTGATAGAAGAAAGGATGAGGAGAAGAGAGTAGGGATAGCTCAAGGCAACTGGAGATACAGACGCCAGAGAGAGAGAGAGAGAGAAAGAGACTACTGGGAACCCTTCCTAAACAAGAAACAAGGGGTAAGCCTCTACTCATGTCCAAGAGAAGAGGGAGGAGTTGTTGACCGGGCGGTAGGAAAGCCTACCTACTCCCCATTACATATAACACATACAACAACAACAAAACAGAGGGAACGATGATAGGGGAGGTAATTTTCAAAGAGTCCTGGCTGTCACTTGCATTTACCCTTTCGCAACATTAAGTTTTAACTTAGTATAAGTTCCATTGTCTATTCTATAAAGAAATTGATGAAAATAAGAATATCTGGAATTATTGCTATGTCATAATAAATGCCCCAACATACGTGACAGCGAGTGTTAGTCCGCTTTCTTCCTCATGATAACAAGTGAATGTACAGCTTACCTTAAGTCCAAGCATCGACCCGGTGGTGGGGGGATCAACGGCCAATCCACCGCCCTCACCAAATAGTGGGCTTGGGAGACATGCTTTCAATAAAAATTAAGAACAACAGGAGAAAGAACGGCGAAAACAATTCCAAGTTCAGAAAATTTATCAAGCAAGAATAGTCGGCCACTAAAACTCAACCTGAAATCGAACTTGGTTCGTCAATTTCTCATTCCGTGCTGCTAACCTCTGCACATCCTTAATAAAAAATCAGACACGTGGAATTCAGTGTAAAAAAACGAAAGAAGATTGCATTAATCATATGTAACTATAAGAAGCTGATTTGCATTTGTAGCATTACATTGTGTATAAGGATCAGCGAAGATAAGTATAATTGCTGTATGCGGAGGAAATGTATAAACATTATTCAATATAACACTATCAACTCGAGAAGACAATGGTGCGAATTTCTATGTACAGCATTGTTCTAACATATCATGGCTTTCTCTAATATAGGTATTTTCGATGAACCCATGTCGCTACCTAATATGGCACAAGATTTGTTTGAAAAAAGTTTTAACGGCAATATAGTGCAAAAATTTGCCCAAGTGCGCTTGGCACTTCTCCTTTTGGGGACGTCTCAGGCACCGGGCAATAAACTGTGAAGTCCCATAAAATTGTTAGAGGTCCTATCTCTGTAACGGGATCTGTGTGGTGTTCATATAATTTTCTTGCAGTTTCTTTTCCGTAAAAGTTGCAGATTTTCCAATGCAGATACTGACCCACTCTATCATGCCAGGATTTATATTCAGGGGGTTGCCAATACTGGGCAACCCGATACAAGATAGTCAATTTTTTCTGGATATTTATCAAAGACTCTGTACTTTGGGCCAGCACAATATTTCAGTATATGTTCTTGGCAATTTCTCGTTAGCAAGCATTAGTTCTGTGAAGCAAGATTATTATTATTACCATTATTAATTTGTTCGAGAATTGATAGCACTTCCTTAGAGGCAAAAACATCTCCAACAAAGTTGAAATTGAAGAAGCCTCTAATGATTTTATCGCATATTTAGTGGCGAGGAACGCGATGGGGCAACAAGAAAAGCTAGAGACATTGTCTTTGTACCATACTTGAGAAAGTTTCGCAATAGCTCCACGATAAGGCAAGTTGACGGATCAAAGTCAGCATTTACAAACGAAGTCCGGCATCACTACTTTTACAGGTGCGAGGAAAACTTAAATTAAATTTCCTAGTACTTTCTACATTGACGAAATTTTAATTACGAGCACAAAAGAATGGACGGGAGGCAGCGAGAAGAAAAGGCAAGATGAGGGTAGAGGCAGTGGAAGATGGTTAGACAAGGAAAAAGAAGGTATGTAAGAGGGAAACAGATATAAAGAATAAGGGAGAACTGGTAGAAAGAAAGAAAGAAAGAAAGAAAGAAAGAAAGAAAGAAAGAAAGAAAGAAAGAAAGAAAGAAAGAAAAAGTGTATGGCTGAGAAAAATAGAACAAATAAAGGAAGAAAGAATAAGAAAAATACGGAAGAAAGAAAGAAAGAAAGAAAGAAAGAAAGAAAGAAAGAAAGAAAGAAAGAAACAAACAAACAAACAAACAAAAAAAAAACAAACAAATCTAGCAAAAAAGTGATTGATTTAGAAAAATAGCACAAATAAAGGAAGAAAGAATAAGAAAGAAAGAAAGTTAGGGACTTAGAAAAATAGAGCAAAGAAAGAAAGAAAGCTACCATGAAAGTGTTTTAAAAAAATAGAGCAAATAAAGGAAGAAAGAATGGGAGAAAAAGAAAGAAAGAAAGAAAGAAAGAAAGAAAGAAAGAAAGAAAGAAAGAAAGAAAGCTAGCAAGAAAGTGAGTGATTTAGAAAAATAGAGCAAATAATTAAAGAAAAAAATGACAGAGAAAAAGACAGAAAGAAAGAAGGGAAAGAAAGAAAGTTGATCCAAAGTTGTAAAGTGATACAACAATTGGAAAGTTTATTTGCATTAAAGGCTGTAAGTTGTGAATGGGTGAGTGTATGTAGAATTGTGTATGGAGCATCTTTTAATCATTCATTCGTTAAACGTGAACAAAGAGAATACAAATGACTCTGACACGTTCCTTGTCATTGCTCGAAGGACTGACGGGGCATGCGCACTTGTTATTGAAAAATGAACGCGTCGAAAGAAACAAATGGTACGTAAGTGGGTGATGAGGGGGTGCGTGCTGAGTAGAGTGAGGGTCAAATGCGTGGCTGAATCCACAAGAACAGCTGTCTCGATATATAAGATTATAACTGTAAACATGGATCTGTATACGCGCATTACAAAATATATTTGAACAGATAGGAAGGAAATAAAGAAAGATTTGGTTCATTTGTTTTTTGCAGCTTATCAACCTTGTACAGGTTATTTAAAGCCAGAAAATATTTTTTAGATTGTAAGAATGTTTTTAGAGATATTAATGACTTACTGATACAAGTCCTACTAATTAACGCATAGCTTGGGGGAAGAGGTGGATTCATGCCTTTCCCAATGGCATTTGCCCGTAAATGAATATAAAGAACCCAATTGGAATTGGAACTAGGCCAGACTCGACGTTGCTTAACTTTAATGATCGTATGAAAAACGGTGTTTCAACGTAAGCCAAAGGAAGGAAGGAACAATTTTTGAAAGAGAAATAGGTTGGGATACTTTGTATATATAATCTTTTTCTTTTGCTCTGGTTAAATAGTGTATAATAAGATAGAAGTTTGTGTTGTGCTAATTATTCAAATAAAATAAAATATTTATATTCAAAATACTGACTTTATTTGGGTTTGAACGCTAACCACTTACGCCTGGAGCAAAGCATTATTCCCACTTTCAGGAACGAGTTTCACGGATATATAATTATTTCCAGACAATTTGATGACAACAGATCTGGGATTATCTGTAATAAGTTTCTTTTTATTAAGTCTGTCCTGAAATCCAGCGTTTAAAATCTAACCGCATGTTTTTATTCAACCAAAGATCAATGACACCGATACAAATTTGTTAATATATTCCGCTGATCCAATCGGCTTTCATTAAGGGTGTATAAGAATTGTACTGCGCCAATTTTTAAGGTTGTGAAGGAAATTCATCAATGTTATTAGCATTGTTTTCTAGCCACAGAAATAATTTTACTGGTGACTTTCTGAATAAAATTGTTATATGTATTTCCGAGGTAGGATCAATTAGTCTGTAGCCTGATACATTGTTAGCAATTGAATGAAGTGCGTTGACAAGGAAAGAGATTATGTTTAAAAAAATAAATGTTTGTTGTTTAAGCTAAAAGCTTCTCTGCAACTAGGCTACTGATTTATTGATGCACCTATGTTGACATTTGCTCTTTTTAGGCCCCGACAGGAAAGTTTCGATGAAATGATGTTTGGATATATGAATAATGTAATATTTATTAGCACATAGTGTGGAATCAGCGATTCAAATTCCAGCTTAGCCAGCTGCATTCACTTTCACACTAATCTTCTTGAGAAAATCAAGACTCTACTTCTTCTTTGTCCCCACCTACCTATAGGTTACATATCAATGACGACTGGATGCTCTACACTGCGTGCCAAATTATTATCGAGATAACTTTTTTTTCTAATATTTCAAAAACCGTCCAATCAATTCACACAAAATTTTCACTCACACAATGTTAGCAACACTGACCTGCGCAATCACTGAAATTTTCGTACTGATATGCGCAATGTAAACAAACTGGCGCCATATTTGTTATCAGTACGGTTTTTAGCTTACACAACAAACATTTATTTTTTTTTCCAATGTTTTTCCAATGATACCACCCCAGATCATTATGCCTCCACCGCCTTGTTAGCGTCGCAAACGCTGATGGCGATTCTGTCCATTCATTACCCAGCCTTTGCACCATCTATCTGGCCCATCAAGTGTTGCTCGAGTTTCGTCTGTGAACAAAACTTTAGAGAAGTCAATTTTCATATTGTCCTCGGCCCATTTCAATCAATTTTGAATGTGATTTCTCGTCAACAGAGGCTTCGATACAGGTTTGACTGTTGTTGCTATTTCCCTCAGATACCGACACCGAGTACTTTTAGACACAGTAGGATCCCCAATGCGATTGAAAAGCTCTTGACTGGTAAGTCCAGGGTTCTTTGTGGCCTTTCGTTTAAGTCGTGACATGAGACGACGTGAAATAACCCTCGGCTTGCCTTTATCTGCCCTTTTGCGTACTTGTGTAAGGTTGGTGGTGAACTTTTTCACTGTTTGATGACACCTCCCTATCATTTTAGAAATTTCTAGGGTAGATTTACCTTTTGAGAGTTCTGAGATAATAGTTTTCTTTTCAGCATCACTTAAACTGCTTTTGCGGCCCATCTTTTGACTAAATTCTTACACTTTTCTAATAATTTGGCACGCACAAATCACCGTGTTTATAACAAATATGGCGCCAGTTTGTTTAATTTGCGCATATCAGTAAAAGATTTCAGTGATTGCGCAGGTCAGTGTTGCAAGCATTGTGTGGAAATTTTGTGTGAATTGATTGGACGGTTTTTGAAATATTAGAAAAAAGTTACCTCGATAATAATTTGGAACGCAGTGAATAGACTTCTAAAAAAAGGAAAATTCTGTTGTATAAAATAAAAGTTTTTTTTACCGTTAGGCCACACATTTATTGATATATCTATGTTAATATGAATCTGTATGATTGCTTTTATACAGAGTGAAGGAAAGCAAGAAGAAAGGACTAAACATCAGTTGTAAGAAGACGGAATGCATGGTTGTTAGCAAAAGGAAAAATCAAACATGCAAATTACAAATTGGAGATAGCGAAATCAAACAGGTGTAACAGTTTAGATTATCTGGGAAGCGTATTAACAGAGGTCAGAAAGTGTGCTATGGAAATCTGAAGGTGTATTTGTATAAAGAAAGATGCCTTCCAAAAGCTTAGCAACGTATTAAGAAACGGAAAAATATCATTAGAAATGAGTACTGAAAGGTTATCTAATATCAGTCCTCCTATATAGCAGTGAATGCCGAACTATCTCTTCAGAGATGAAGAAGAGACTTGAAGTAACAGAAACAAATAAAAGAGTACTGAACTGCTATCTAATATCAGTCCTTCTATATTGCAGTGAATACTGGACAATCTCTTCAGAGACGAAGGGACTTGAAGCAAGAGAAACAAGGAAAAGAATACTGAACTGTTATCTAATATCAGTCCTCCTATATGGCAGTGCATGCTGGACTATCTCTTCAGAAATAAAGAAGAGACTTGAAGCAAGAGAAAGAAGGGAAAGAGTACTGAACTGTTATCTAATATCAGTTCTCCTGTATGGCAGTGAATGCTGCACTATCTCTTCAGCGATGAAGAAGAGACTTGAAGCAAAAGGTATGTGGTTCTACAGAAAGGTACTGAGAATACCATGGATCGAACATGTGAACAACGACGTTCTGGAGACAATGACAACAAGAAGGACACTTTTCTTTAACACCGGAAAGGGATATTTGAAATTTTTGTAGCCCATAATGAGGACAGAGAGTTTTGAAAAGTATATTCAAAGGAAAGATTGAGTGAATGTATGGTGGAGTAGGGTTTGGAGGTGATGTTATTAAGAGGAAATTCTGGAGAGCCCTGATCACCAACGGGCTGAAGGGATACGGCACATATTTGAAGAAGAATGTATCCGTCCCGTTTTGTAGAAGCCATGTACAGAAATTACTTGTGTATAAGTAGATTTTTTTAGTTTTTATCCAAGCAACTGGAGAGGTGGTATACGAAGTTGAAATTGTATTCATCTTGTCTTTTTTATTATCTGATTGGATCATCTGATTTTTAATCATAAAATTTCATAGAATAGTTATTCAGACATTAAAGTATGTATACTGTTTTCTATGACTTTATACCATCATTCTCCTCAACTGTATTCCGCTATAAAAATATAGATTATGGTTTTGATTTGATAAATGATATGACAAAGTTTTCAATATCTCCAATTTACTGAAATTTGTGTTTCTCTACATTCCTCCCTTTTTTCTAGATTTGGTAACTGTTCAAGTTTAACATTTTTTTTCAAATCATTTCACCCCAAGCAAAGCAATAAAGCCACTAAGACATATGAGGTTACTTAGTGTGAAAGAATATGAGGAAAAGAAAACTGTTATTAAGGAGAGAGAACAACGAATGAACAAGAATAAAGAAGAAAGAAGATAACAGCTGACATTGCATTAAAATTTTTGAAGATCAAAGTTTGTTTGGAAAGCAAGGAGCCGGAAGAGAGTTCCACAAGAGAGAAGCGCAGAAGAAGAACGTCTAGCTTTTTAAACTGTAAAAAGATGATACCTTACCGACAATCTAGTACGGTGCTTAAATTCGTCGAAGTAAGAAAGCATAAACCTCATCAGAACAATTACTGTATTTATGAAAAGGCACAAGGGAGCTACGTTACAGCGGTGGGAGAGTGACTAAAGCCGAGATGTCAGGTCAGAACCAATAACATTGCAGATTCTTTTTGGATTTTATCTAGAATTTCTAAATACATAGAAGAAGCACCTGACCAGGTGTGATAGCAATATTCAATGAAAGGGCAAATAGTAGACTTATAAAGTTGCAAAATAGATGCTGATGAGATAAATTGTCTAGCTTACAGTGTGTAAACGGGAAATAGCAGGAGTGGTCATCAATCGTTGAAGAACTAAGTCAAGAAAACAGACAGAGAAGAATATTGAAGAATAAGAGAACTGAAAGAATCAGCACACATTTTAGACACAGAACTTCTAATCTTCTAATCTTCTAATCTTCTAATCTTCTAATCTTCAATACTAGATTGTCCAAGAGAAACAAAGCTTACACAGTGGCTCCAAAACTTTTTTCTTTGGGTTGCATTTTCGGAATGAAAGTTTGCTCGCAACCTCACCAAATTTTATGTGATAAAAAGTACATTGAAAAATAAAAATAAAAAAAAACAGAGAGAGGGTTAAAGCGCGATAACCACAGATTCGAAGTCAGAACATTATCATTGATAACTCTCTCCTCTAATTTGCGGAGCCTAGTTAATATATTCTTAATACTTGATATAATGCAAAAATATCCCAATGATAAAATCGGTCAATAATTATTTATAACTATTTATACTGATTACCATGCATGCAATTACAAGTAATCCATAATAATATTTTAAATTTTGAAATCATATTTATTTTTGGCATATGAATGTTTTGAAACTGTTTCTAAATCTTTGTCTTTCAATAATTCTGCCTCGCCTGCTACCCTCTGCCACCGCACATATGAAATGTGCCACAGCGATTGGGAGCTAATGGCTTTGTGGATTAAAGTGTTGGCTCAAACGTATAGTAAGAAGCCATCGAATCGAAATGATTTGAAAAGATTTGGCATAAAAAATGGTCGAAAATACTAGTCAAAAGGTGTAGAAATGGCCTCAACAAGTTTTAGGGGAAAATCCGGCATTTAATTAAATTAACAACCCGAAATTAATTATATATTTATAAAAATAAATACAAAATCAGGAATAAATTATAGTAATGGCGATATTAACCGTTTTCTTATAAGGAAACATTCGACATTCATTGATCGAGCAGCTAGTACCATTCAAAACAATTTTCCAGCAAATCGGTCTCTCGGGTCCAATAACTGTTATCGCGCTTTCCAGTATTGAAGTAGGTTTCCTTCCTGCCCTTTTGTTTGAAGTAGTGTAGAAAGTCAACATCTTCATTATTTTCTCTTCTAGTTACATGTACTATCCATTTCAGTTGTTGCAGTTGCTGAAAGTACTCAAGGTATGGGGTTTCTGTTATTTGCTACAGTCCTTTTGTTTGATTCTGTAATGCCAGTCTACAAGGTTTGAAGATGGATGGTTCTCACTGGGACCTAGAGGTATCATTTGCTTAAAACCATTTTAATTATTGATCTGAGAAATCAGTTGTATACAGATGACAGCTTGTATATTTCTGAATGAGTTTGGGGTTAACCAAGATGTCCTTTTTCATTTGACTCCCAGCCTCCGAGCGCTGCGGTTGTTTGTTACTCCTGCGTAGGAGGCCGCAACTGGCAGAAATGAGTTTGGAAAAAGTGGAATTAAAGTTTTGATTCGCTACTGTTACAAGTGCAGACTTTCTACAAGAGCTGCTGTGAATGAAATTTGTGATACTGAAGGCGAAGGCAGAGTTAACCAGTCAAAGAATCTCGAGATGATACAGACGTTTGAACACCGGAGATCTTACCCTTGACGATCAACCACGTTGCAGCCGACCTTCAGCCTTTGATAACGAGGCTTTAATGGCAGCATTGAAAGTGGAATCTTCTGTAAGCATTCGCGAATCATTTGAAAGTTGTTGGAATGTCACCCATCATACTGTGCTGAACCGATTAAGTGAGTCAGGCCTTTCTGGCCCAGGAATAGACAACTCAAGCCCGCCAATTGAGCGCCAGGACAACTCAGAACTGAGACAACCGATTAAGTGAGTCAGGCCTTTCTGGCCCGGGAAGGGACAACTCAAGCCCGCCAATTGAGCGCCAGGACAACTCAGAACTGAGACAACCGATTAAGTGAGTCAGGCCTTTCTGGCCCGGGAAGGGACAACTCAAGCCCGCCAAATGAGCCCCAGGACAACTCAGAACTGAGACAACTCTGGACTGAGACAACTCAGCACCAGAAAAACATATCTTTTTTTTTATAACCGAATAAAAGTAATTTATCAAGGATTAAAACTTTAATTAATGAATATTTTCTTTAAATAAGACATTTAAAAAAGAATTATGTAAAATATGAAGATTTTTGTTTTCAAAGTAAATCGTAAATTATTAAATTATTTTTTTATAAAAAATATTTGAAGCCGTCGATTTCCTTTATTAAAAATAATTAAAACAAAAAACTGCTTCATTTTGTCTTGCATTTTTAGATTTACTTTAATAATTAAAAACCAGTGTGTTTTGTTGAATTATTTTTATATGTCAATTTACTTTATTAAAAAATACATTTCTTTACTAAAATATTATTAAAAATAATTAAAAACAAAAAAACTGGTTCATATTTTACATAATGCCTTTTCAGATGCCTTATTTAAAGGAAAATATTCTCTAATTAAGGTTTTAATCCTTAATAAATTACTCCTATTATAAAAAAGTTATGTCTTTTTCTGGTGCTGAGTTGTCTCGGTTTTGAGTTGTCCCGGTGTTGAGTCGGTGGTGTTGAGTCGGCGGTGTTGAGTTGTCCTGCACTCTTTCTGGCCAACCTAAAACATTTGATGAAATCAACTACAGACTGATTAATCCGAAAGAAATAAAGAAAATAATCACGAGATTGTATGTCCAACTGTAATTCTCTTGTCAATACGAACAAGTAAAAGATGAAAATTCCAGATCAAAACTCAGCAAATTAAGTATCAGGTTATCGACTTCTTGATTCACCATGATCATTTTAAACGCTACAAGGTTTTACTAATTAATTTATATCGGGTATAACATTGAATTTTTTTTTACAAAATGTGTATTTCCAGTTCAGCGGTATTGTAATGTTTGTCGAACTAAGTAGAATTACAAATGGGTTGTTGGTGCATCCATATCACGTGGAAACACTGGTTCTCATCCGATATCTAAAGTTAAGCAGCGTTGAACCTGGTCAGTATGTAGATCGGTGACTGCTGGGAATACCAGGTGCTGTAAGTTTGAATGTGCGGGTGGTGTAATGAATAAAGGCACGAAATAAGAAATCGGAGAACCGAGTTCAAATTCCAGTACTTACGCGCAAATACCTTTAGAAAAGGTATGAATCCACCTCTGCTCCTTCCAGCTATGGGTTAAATAGTAAAAATTATCTAAAAAATCATTATCTTCAAAATATTCTTACAATCCAAAATATGTTTCGGCTTCAAATAATCTCAAAGAGTTGATAAACCGTAAGAATAAATCAAACAATCAATTAAAGGTGAAAAAACTGTGCATCAATCCAACCAACTAATTGTCAAGCTCATGTGAATAAAGTCTTACAACTAAAAGAAACTTTAACTCCTGACACCCTCTATGTCGTAGGTCCGTATTTGTGTTAATTTATATCAGGTCTATAAATCAGTCTTTTTGCTATTTTTTGATTTCCTCTTAAACATCCGGGATTTTATGACCGACACACCTTAGGAACGACGTCTTGTTGTAATTATATTTGTACTGGGATGTCCGGGTAACCTAGCGGTTAATGACATGGATGTGTGGAATCCATTTCGGTCTACTTTTGCACCTTTGTTTTGGAAAAGGCAAGGTCTCATTTTTTCAAGTTTTGAAGGTAATGAAGTAGACAGGGCTCTCGAACGTTGCTAAGGTAACTCATCTAGGAAAAAGACTGAATTGAGAATAGTGGAGTCGGCAACTGGAAAACATTTTCACTATTTTTCCATCTTTTCCAAGACGCCATGACAATTCACAGATAATAAAGAAAAGGAATGAATGGAGTGTCATCATTACCTAATTCCTGAAGAATCATGGCATTTTGAAATAAAATGTATTATAGTATATTTCGTGTCATTGTTCTATCGACATTTTAATTTTGTTTTAGATTGTCTCTAGTTTTCTTTTGCCGTCTTTCTATGCTTCTCTCCTTTTTTCATTAGCGACCTTTACTTCATCCTTTTTTTTTTCTTCACTTCTTTCTTCTTCCTTTAATTTCTTTTTTCTTCACATTTTCTTTTTTACGATTTCACCTGCCATTTTCTTTTTTTTATCTTTCGCGACGTCTTATTCTTTTTCTCTCAAATGTTTTGTATTTTTCGTCTTCTTTTTGATTATATTGTTCTTTCCTTCTTTTTTTTGCCTTTCCCATTCTTCATTCTATTTCATTCTCTTCCTCTTTCTCTTTCATATATTTTCATTTCTTCTCTGTTCTTCTGTTTACCGTTTCCCTTCCGTTTCCTCTTCATCTATCTTTCCCACATTCCTATCTTTCTATTCTCTCTCTCTCTCTCTTCTCTCCCCTCTGTCCCTATATCTTCCTCCTCCCTTATCTTTCCTTATAACTCTATCTTCTCACACTTCCAAGCGCCAGCTTAATCAAAAATATGAAAGATCAGAAAACACGAGATCAAATAAAAATGACAACACCCTCTTAATTTCACACCCCCGAATCAGAAAGATATTTCTCTTATTTCGGTCTGTCTTCGATTACCAAGTACCGATTCACCTCCCGCCAGTTTGAAGTTCCTCACCATTCTTTTCCTTATTGATATCGGCAATGTCTTCCTTCAGATTAGCAGCAGCAGCAGCAGCTAACCATTCGGTGTCATTTCGATTACAATCCTCATTTATTTTAAAGTCGTCTTAACAAAATTTCTTGACGTACCAATTCTTCGACGACAGTCCGACTTCCGATAACATAAAAAAAACGCGCTAGTCTAAAAAACACTTTCTGATCGCTAAAAGGTAACGTCACTTATATTGTCTGTATAAAGTAAGAGGACATTTTCGCTGTCAGCTGCATAATTATAGAAACTCCATTTGAAATCGCTAAATGCTTCAAGTCTATCGGGGATGCGGGTAAGAAAATATTTTAATGAATATATTTTATCCTCAGCTCCATCCCATCAACGATTTTTTAACAAAGGTCTTTTCACTGGCATACCGTAGAAGAAAGCTCAATTATATCATTGATTTGTTTCTTGATCCTAATACCATGTAACCATATACGACCTGACTCATGTTAGATAGCAGATATCCACTGTTAATTCCTCTTGCTCTAATGATACCCGGAAGAATCAAAAATGATATGCCGTCGTTTTTCTAAACTAACAATTCTAACAAAACAAGTCCGTATTTGCCTCGGTGGGACTCTAGGTTATTCGAAAAGGGTTATACACTGCAAAATAGGAGAATCAAAACGACGATGACGGTTGTGACGAAAAAACCGGAAGCGATAAGAAACTTCCTGTTGCTTCTCGCTACTTTTTATTCTTTCAAGTTGCATACTGCATTCTAACTATGGCGAAATTTTCTTGAAAAAAATTCAGGAATAGAAATGATATCGCGACAAAAGCTGATCTCTGACTGTTATTGTTTAATTTAGATCATCATATCAAGAAGGTTTCAGCAAAGAGCAAAACTGAAATATTATTGTTATAATCAATGTTTCAAATGCGAAATTTCATGGCAAGCATGCGTGACTCAGCAAAACAACAAAAACAAGAGTTTTATATAAGTTTATTGTAAACTGGATGGACGGAAACATTTCAACCAATTCCCAATGTAGAATGCTCGATGTCTTTCTTCGGAATGCGTCGTCATTTCCTGATAACATTTGAATGAAGAAAATAAAGTCGGTCTATTGTAGGACCCGTTGACAAGGCGGTAATACAAATTAATACAAATAAAATTTGTTTGTCGCTAAGCTGATTGATGTTATAGTCATCACATTGATTCTAGCGTTTCGTAACCTTTTTGTAATTGTTCAGTCCACTCTTCAGGAGATTTACAAGAGTGAGATAGATAGATAGATAGATAGATAGATAGATAGATAGATAGATAGATAGATAGATAGATAGATGTGGAGGAGACTGAGATAGATAGATAGTTAGATAGATAGATAGATAGATAGATAGATAGATAGATAGATAGATAGATAGATAGATAGATCATGTCTACTAAAAGTAGACAACAAATAAACAACAATTAATCAAATTATATTTTTTTGAAATTCCTTTGACTTGTGAGAAAACCTTCTTCATTGAAAGGAAGACTTTGTAGCAGCAAGCTGAGAAAAGTATCTCGACCTGAATTTTAAGAAAACTAAAAATTATAGGTGAAAATTATGCTCATCGAAATTTCTTATCCTTTTTTTATTTTCGGAAAACTTAGTAAATTTTGGCACTAAACATTCAGAGAGCTAGCAACGAATCAATCCATGGCCGATTCTTTGGTTGAGTAAAAATTAGATTTAAACATTTGTACTTGGGCTTACTTTGTGATTTGTATATCAAAATACGATTCAAATAATCTGCCGACATATCATCATTTTATGAATCAAACAATTAATTCAATTTGTTAAGAGATAATCACAAAATCTCTATGAATCTTACTGTCAACAGAGGCGCATATATTTCAAACAAATATCTGTCTGTATTTGTCAGTCAGTAAATTACTGTCTATCTCAATTTGTTCTTATTCGTATCTATCTATCTATCTATCTATCTATCTATCTATCTATCTATAAATATATGTATATATATATAGAGAGAGACAGGTATTTTATTTATATGAATCTATCTATCTATCTATCTATCTATTTTTCTTTCTTTCTTTCTTTCTTTCTTTCTATCTATCTATCTATCACAGTTTGTTCATATCTGACAATCATCAGTCTCAGTGTTCAAATTTGTCACATTCCGTTATATTTGAGTCTATATTCATATTACATACACACGTATATATATATATAATCAAATGGATAAATATAGGTAAATGTAAGTATACATATATATATATATATTTTAAGACATTTTTATGTTTACACATTCTTTTTATAGATACATAAAAATGTCTTAAAATAAATGTCGGGCTTTGTCCATTTCATAATGTGTGACAACATATATATATATATATATATATATATATAGTATATATATATATCCTATAGAAAAAACAGTACTCAGTGTGAATTAACAGAGCTATTTAATATATTAAAAATATACATAATACCTTACATTGGTCGCACAACTGTCTGATCAATGTAGGGTATTATGAATATATATATATATGTGTGTGTGTGTGTGTAAATTCTAAGTGCGTGCGATGATATATATATATATATATATTTATATATGCATGTTTCATTAAAAACGACAGACAAGATACTACAGTTAAGCTTTTTATTTAATTTTTCTTGTGTTCGAACAAGAGCTTTCTTTTCTGGACAAAGGGTGTGTAAGAACGGTCCAAATGTTTTATATTTCCTAGCGCTTTCGGCTATACCTTTAGCCATTATCAAGGACAATTCTATTTTTTCAGTTTAATTGAGTGTGTGCGTTCTGTGTATGTATCAGTGTGTGGTAGGGATGTTTTTTAATTTCTGAATACGGTTAACACATTGTGGCGTTGTTCGTAGTTAATATTGTTAAGTGTTGGCTTTTTCTTTTTTATTATTAAAGCTTCCATTATTTTTAGTCTTTTTTTGCAGGTGGATGCAGTTAATATATTTGTGTTTTCTACTAGTATGTTTCTAATGGAGTCTGTTAAATCTGTGTGTGTGTTTAAATGGGTTCTAATGGAACTCTGATCAGATAGGTGTAACGTAAGACGTCTAGATAAACATGTGGTTGTGTAACCGATGTAATTATTTATGAGTCCGGTTTGATCAGGAACACAGTTCCTTAAGGGGCATTTGAACTCACAAATAATGTTCGTTCTTTGTAACTTTGACTTAGCTGTTGTGTGTAGCTTAACCGTAGTACCTTATCTGTCGTTTTTAATGAAACATGCATAAAGGAAGGATTGCTGCCTAAATATACAACTATATATATATATATATATATATATATATATATATATATATATATATATATAAAAACGCACATACACGTATACTGCTATTTCATTTCTTGTATTTATCTCTGTATATACTTACGTATGTGAGTGTATGTGCGCACACACATGTGTCTACGTTTGTCGGGCGCTCTCTTACTCTCTTTCGCAGTCTCTTCCTATCTGTCTTTCAGTCTATCTATCTATCTATCTATCTATCTCTTTCTCAATAGTTACACTAGTTACGGATATACTTGTAACCAGGAAATTTTGGATTGCAAATCGTTATTCCAGGTACCCCCTCCCCACCAAAAAAAGACCAAACCATGCATTCCGCGGATAGACGAGGATTTTTCATCGTTCACCATCTTTAATTGTTTCTACTTTTGCGTTCTTGTAAAATCCACTCAATTTCAGCAATAAATACCCGAATTTATATTTCTGGTTGAAATTCCTTTCGCAATTCCACATTTCAGCGGAGCCACTATTTTCCAAAATACACGTCGTTTTTTTTTTTTTTTTTTTCTTTTACTTTTATTACCCGAGAAAAATAGTAAAAACCTCGAGCACGGATGTGCATGCGCACTCACGTAACGAGAACCAATAAAAGTCACCTCCTTCTCCCCACCGATCTTCCACCCGCCCACCTGTAGCCTCCTGCTCAATCCCCCGAAAATCAAAAGAGATCAAAGCTTCTCCACTTCGATCCGTCTGCTCTAAATTAATACAGGCCTTTTAGTTACCGTTTGCTCTGGTAGACGGCGCTAGTATCACTTCCTGTTATCCGAGTCATGCTTCATTTCCGGTGTGTCTGAAACAAGAAAGGGAGGAAGAATTTACGTTTCAATAGTCTTTGTTATTTGTTCACATCTTTCTTTCTTTCTTTCTTTCTTTCTTTCTTTCTCGTTTTCTCTTCTTTCTTTCTTTATCGTTTTCTCTTCTTTTTTTCTTAGTTCTTTCTCTCTCAGATTTGTTTCTTCTTTATTATGCATCTTTCTTTCTCCCTTTTTTATTTTCTTTTTTTCTGTCGCTATTTCTTTTCATCGCTATTTTTCTTTTCAGCTATATATCATATTGTTAATCTTTCCGTTTTCTTTTTCTTTCTTTTTCCTTTCTTTTTCCTTCCTTGTCCTCTCTTTGCCGTTTATCATTCTTTTTGTTAGTCTTTTTGTTTTAACTGTTTTTACTTTTTCTTTCTCCCTTTCTTTACTTTTTCGCATTTCTTTCTTCCTTGTTTTCTTTCTTGCTTGCTTGCTTTCTTTCGTATTTTCTTTTTTCTTTCTTTCTTGTTTTCTTCATTTATTTTTGTCTTTCTTTCAAATTAATTTTTTGTTTTTTTCTATCTTGTATATTTCTTTTGATTTCTTTCTTATTTACCGCTATATTATTTCGTTTTTTTTTTATCATAATTTTACTTCAACCTTCTAATCATGATTTTTCCAATTACAGTGTAACCCGGATATAAGAGAGTTGTCGGGACCGGAGAAGAAGTCTCTTATATCCGGGTTTCTCTTATATCCGGCTTGGGTCTAATTTATATACATTAACACAGGCTCTAATTTGGGACCAGAGACAATCTCTCTTATATCCGGGTTTCTCTTATATCCGGGTCTCTTATATCCGGGTTACACTGTATTCCATCAATCCATTTCCTCAGATTTTCCTTCTTTCGTCTGATTTTTTCAA